GCAGCCAGCAGGTTAGAGCCTGGCATGTCAAATAGGTACTAAAGAAGGTTATCAAACTGGTGTAAATGCTGCACAGAACGTTACCTGTCCAACTCAGGACATCTTTGAAAGGGTGCTTGCTACAAGGGGATTAGGACAGTGGAGTGCTTGGTCCTGTTCCCAGAAGCAGCAGCCAAGTACACCACATTCAACACTAGAAGTTGTGAAGGGCACAGAACTAAAGCTGGTAGCCCAAAGGGAATGTGTTCTCCTTCTTAGATTGCTATACTTTCCTAGAGGGACACCACTAAAATAGAAGGGGTGGCTGCAAACACACTCTGACAGCCAGTACATCTGAAAGGTCAGATTAGATTGAGCACTTAGTCTTTATCCATTAGCAGAAGCTAGTAAATCAGAGAGTAGCAATGGCCAAGAAATAGCTGTGTCTTTGTAACTTAACCATGTCTTAAACCAGATTGAAAGGGCTCCAGGAAATCTGAGGGCTCTAGATAATACTCTAGATAATGTGAGAGCTGCTTCTCCATGACCTATTTGATAACCTTCCGCACATGAGGATGTTTACAGGCTGGGTGGCAACTAAGATATTTAGCTGTGCTGAGATGACAACTTTATGAGGTAAGAAAAATAGCACAGCATTTTATTGTTGTTGTCATCGGATGTGGGTGCAGCTTTGAAAGGTTGCTGTAGCAGTTCTGTCAATAGGACTTTTTGGAAATAAAGATTTTTCTGGTTAGGCCCCAGGCTGCATTAATTGTTTGGAGGGTGTAATTCTTCATCTGCTGTTAATAGCTTCCTAGAAAAAAACAAGACATGAAGTGTTCTTGGAACAATCTGTTCTAAAAGCCTAGGAGCACACCAGGTGGAAGTTATTTTAGAAAGGTTTTTGCTTTGAAGGTCTGCTGAACAGTCCAGTGTTTGTGTTTGGTGTGTCCCTGCTCATAAAAGCTGGATATTTTCAGGGTATGGCATAATGGACTTCTCTCCTAGTCTTCTAGCTTGCTATTTTCATACCCTAATGAGAAGCTCACATTTGTTGGCATGAGAGCACATGCAGCGCTTTTCTAGAGTTTCTAATCACCTTTCCAGTTGTCCTGTCCATTAGAGGCAATGGAGGTACTCCTGGAAATCAGCAGGTTCTTCCCATTTGGAGGAAGCAGAAAGAGTTCCTTTGGATGTACAGGGAAATATAATTCTCTTACTTTCTAAAATGCTTTGTCTCATTTAAATAGTCTGCATGGATATGTCTCCAAGCTTTGTTGTCATAGTGTCACTTTTATCTGTTATATGTCCAACTCACCCCATGGAAGAAGAGGGGTTAGGGAAGTGTATTGCTTTCACTTACTTCTTATTTACAGGCAGTATTCACACTGGCAGTGCTTCATAACTCTCATTAATGGAAAGGAATTAGGATGGAAAGCTTCCTCAGAGTCTGTCTGCCACAAAGACAGTTTCCATAGCCCAGTCTACGGAAAATGAGGAAAACACACACACAAAAGATGATGAATGAATGGATACCTTCTAAAGAGATAGAAGAAAGCATGTAGTAGGGAGATGGAAGACGAGGGGATTGCAGGCCTGTACTTCTCTTGACATAAAACTCTTTTTTTGAGTATTTTGCAAATAATGGAGTCTGGTTTAGAGTCTTTGAGGGCTACTATAACAGAATTAATTAACTGGAATGAGAAAAGAAAAAATAACCAGAGCATAATACATTTTCAAAAGCAAAACTGGTGTTTACAGGATTTGTGAATGTCTGATTCAATCAGATTTTTTTGTACAAGATTAATGAAAAATTCAAATTTTAATTGAAAAAGAAAAAAGAGAAAGAAACCAAAAACCTTCCTACACTTGAATATGTTGAACACCTTTGAAGCAGATCTTAATGTTTATTAGTTCTTGCTTTACCTTGATTTTGAAAAGTTAAAGAAAATTTCTTTTAGTTATATTTTTTGTGTGAATTAGCATTCTGTTGCTTTTACTAAATATGTCTGATAATTAAATTCTATTTCAATTTATTTTTAGCAAATCATAGAACCATAGAATAATTTGGGCTGGAAGGGATCTTTAAAGATCATCCAGTCCAACCCTTCTGCCATAGGAGGGGACTATATTAACATAATGCCTGGAGAAAATCTAGTATAAGCATTCTCATTTTTCTCACTCTGTTTAAAGCATCTTCAGCAGTTTATTTTAGCTTCCAGGAAATTAATAGCAATTTATCTTAGATGATTACATAACACTATAATTCTTCTCTATTTCTGTGGCAAAGAACTATACATTGAGAAAAATTCTGACGTTTAATTACATCAAATGTTCAAGACATTATATGAGAGGAACCTATTTACCTTCTGCTCCTGCAATAGCTACATCCTTTGTAATACTTCTGCAAGGTGAGGGAGTATTTCTTTTCATATTTTACAGTTGGTGAACTGATTCTCAGAGAGGCCAAGAAATTTGCCAAAGTTCATAAAGAAATCAGTGGTGAACAAGAAACCAAAGTGAACTCTCCTAGGACAAGACTAGCACTTTAACAACGTCTGGCATTGCTCTCTGTCCAACATCCGCTTGATTTTATCTATTCTTTCATGAACGTTCTGTTGTTCTTATAGTCAGAACTTAAAATGTTTTCCCCATTTACAATGTCTGTTCTCTAAAGAACTTGACAAAGTCTTCTGGTTTTCTTCATCTTTGAGTGAGAGGGCAGTGTTAGAAGTAGCAACCATTTAACCTTCCCAGGATATATCCCTCTTTTCCTAGTTCCATGCAAGCATCTCGAACTACTCTGCCAAACCCCATATATAGCAAAAGTGAGAGAAAGCAGGGAGTGTGTTCCCTTCTACTCCACCAGTTTTGGTCCACATATAGTAGAACAGTCCCTGTGCATTGGTGGTGATGCAGATTTTCTTCCGGTCCCACCCCTTCTGTGAATTAGCAATGGTAGCCCCAGTTTCCTGCACTAACACTTTGAAACAGCTTGCATTTCATGAGCAGTACATCACCCACTGCTTGGGAATGGTGATACAAGGAAGAATCCTTCACAGAAAGCAAGCAATCTGCTACATTTTTAACTAAGATTTAAGAGAAGAAAAAAAAATAAGGAAAAAAATCCATATAGGTCTTTCCTCTCTATTTGTCTGCTTCTGAGGAGTAAGCATCAGAGTAGACCTTCAAGGTGCTCACCCCAGGGAGAGGAGGACAGTTTCTGAATTTCTGTCTGTGGCCCATGGAAAGGACAGCAGCCACAAACGAGTGTGGGTGATACACCACCTTAACTTTCAATCAAGCCAAATTGAGAGCCCCATGCCTGAATGCCCTTTCTGCCATATCAGCCCAAAAAGCTTATGGGAAAATGGGGGACAAAGACAGGAGAGCAGCCTGCTCTACACAAGGAACAGTAAGGAAAACTGTTGTACACTGGCACATCAGGACAGCTGTTGAGGGAAAGCAGCTATATCCGCCACTCAGGATAGCAGTTGTGCTCCAGAGCCAGGAAGATGGGCTTGGCTGCTGATAGCCAGGTGGCTCTATGCCCGAAAGCAGAATGGCAAGAACTTTGCATTTCAGTGTTTTGGAGACACCAGGAAAGGGTTGGGGTCCTAGTAAGTTCTTTCCTCAGGAGAGAACGTCACACATAGGCAAGAGCTGTGGGCCTAAGCTCTTTCCCCAGTGCTGGGAAGATCTCCTAGAGTCCTAAAACATCATTGTTACAGACCAAAAATTACTGATCCAACTGAATGATTTTGGTGCTAAGCAATCCAGTCACTTTTTTCCCCTTTGTATGTAAACCACATCACTTTCCTGAAGTTAGATACAGGACACAGGCACATTTGGCACTGTCCACCTCCAGCCAAGCCTTCTGGAGTCTTCAGGACTTTGATTCAGACTCTTTCGTTTGGCAAATAGGAAAACTGAACACATAGCAGTCTGCACCAGTTAAACCTTTTTTTGCTTCACACATAAGGCCTATCTAATGTCAGCAAGCAAGGAGTGTTTGTGAATGAAAAGCTGCACACACATCTGTTGGTTTTAAGAAAGGGGACTGCAAAATTTTCTTATCCTCTCATGCTCATGCTCTTATTGTGGCAAGTATTTTAAATGTCAGCTCCTCAGGATTATCTCAGAGCTGTATGACCAATTCCCAAACTATGTGCATCACTGGGAATATTAGTAGTTCCACAGCACATCCAAACTCACCCTGAAACACTGCAAATAAAAGACTGAGGGTTTAGGATTGCTTTTTAAATCAAACATTTATTTAAAAGATAAGAGAATGGCTATTGTCAAGCTAAAAGCTGAAGACAAAATTACTATATATATGGTAGTTTTTAAATATATCAGTCATTTATATTTCTTTATGAGGAAAAAAAATTGGCTGTAGTTGCAATCAGTCTTAATTCATTCTTTATTGCTGCTCTGGTTCTGTGTTATTTGAGCTGGTTTAACTGTTAAAAGCGTTTCAAATGTTCACATGGTCTGCATTACATTACAGAATAAAAGTAAGTACAGCTCACCAAATGTAACTTTCTAAAATGTAAACCACATGAATTTGATTTCTTTGTGGTACAACTTTAATTGGGTTCAGAGGTCTTTTGGTCTTACCTGTCTATCTGCTCTCTGATGGCCTGACCTGATAAAGCTAATACAAAGAATCTGCAAATGTGATCCAAACTGATTACCCTCAGTTACAGTACATGGCTTTATTCTTGACAGTAACGGCCCTTTAGCCTGGTTCATTTTGAGGCTGCAAGTTTGAACCCTGGAGCCACCACTGAACTGGGAGTAGAAAAGTCACAACTTATATTGAAAGATTTTTGCCCTTGCAACTCTATAAGATGAGAGAATGGGAGGGAACAAGAGCACCTAAGTGCAACTATAAGTGATCATGTCTCCTAGAAAACCTGCATGAGCATGCATACAGATGTTTGCCTCACACTGCCACAGCAAATGTCACAACAGAGAATGCATCCAACACACCAAGTAACAGAGAAGGAACTGTGAACAGAAATTCCAACAAAGTCTGAAATCTTCAGATACTGATCTTAAGTTGATTTCAGATTGTTGATTTTTCCTTTTTTCCTATGCTGCGTTCCCTTGATGACTCATCATTCACTCATCAACCCTCCTCTCTGTTGCACTGTGTTGTGCCATGTGCCTTGCTCGAGTGAAACAGCAGTACTGCTGCTTCCCACCCAGAAAAGCACATCAATATCTCAGCATCAACATGGAAGGCACTGTACAACAGGTGCACTCACCTCATATCCTGTGACCCAACTTGTAAACATAGACCTGTATCAGCTTGTGGGAGCAGATCTAGAATTAAGCAGACAGCTCAGGAGAAATGTAGGTAGAAAAGGAGCAGTGTGCTGAAAAAGTCCCTTTGCCTGGTTAGATGGTTTTCTTGGTTTTGCAATGCACTGCCTTGATTTTGAAAAAGTAACATGAAAAAGATTCACAGTGCCCATAGTTCTTGGAAGAAGATACCATAGAAAGAAACACTCAGCAGACTCAGTAATAAAATAACATAACCCAATACTGAACATTACTCAACTGAAACTTCCACTGTAATTCATAAGTTTCATTCAAGTAAGTAAATCAGTAATAAGTAAAAACATTACAAGTCATCTAGTTCTGGCAAATTACATTCTGTTTTCCCTACTGGAAGACACACACACACACACAAACCCTTTCAAAGCCAATGTAGCAAAATTTTTAGGCTAATATTTTACATCCCATTCCCCAAAGCTGTTGTTTTTGTCATTTTTTCTACAGTTCTATTACTGAGCATTGTTCTGTACCAGTAGAACTGTCCTCCCAAATAATTTCCACCGGTGAATATATGAGCAATAACAAATGAGGTCCCTTAATTATTTCCAGGTTTTTCCAATAAGCAGTGTTGGACAGAGAGCTAAGAGCTGTATTGCCATCATGCATATAACAAGGCAGGGCCTGTAAACATGGCAGGGGCGTCTCTATTTTCCTGTTCTTCTAATGGGCAAGGAGGAGGAGTAAGAAGGAAATTTATACCTCAGTGGCGGGGTTTTATTGTAACAAAGAATAGTTTTTTTGTCTTGGAGTCATTTACACCCTCTTCAAGGACACAGCTTACAGCTTCCCAACTTGGTCATAAGGAAAATTGAACATTTCCAAGGATGCTTCTTCCAAAACAAAAATTGATTTTTTTTCCCCTTGAGGCTTGAAATGTGGTTTTGTGCTTTTGTTCTCAATCCCTGTTTTCCTTTATATATAGGGTTTTGCTTCCCTCTGCATTTATGGGTTCTGCTTGAGTCCAATATTGTTTCTAGCATTTGCTTTATAGGACTTAAGGCCCCACAACCCTTGATTTGCATTAACATGCAACAAAAAGCTCTATGCTACTAGACTGTGTACAGAAAAAGACCAGACTGGAAGGGACCCCAGCTTTCCCCACAGAGAAATGTAGTTTAACTTGATGGATTCTGGAATGAACTTTGCCTATTATGTTTTATATAGATTTTGAATAAATCCTCTGAGCCACAAATTTCTTATTGGAACAACAGAACTATATAGAGGCCAGGGGAAAATTTGGAAGCAAGTATGGATTTTATTCCCTGTCATGGAGCCCAGAATCCATATCTTTCTCCACATCCATTTAGTATGGCACAAAGGGAACTCACTGACTCCTTTATCCCGACTTCCTTTGCTACTTCACAGTAGAAATATTATTCTGCTTCCTCTTTTACTTCCCTATAGATCAGAAACAATTCAACAACACTCTAGGTCTTTTTCCTCTGTGAGCCTGGAGCAGACTGCAGAGAAAGAAGAAATTAAAACAGACTAAGAAGGCAATTAATTGTAAAGAGGTAACATTTTCACACAACTCTTCCATTTGGTGTCTGTATTAACAGGCTCTGGTTATATAATCTATTGGCTACATATCTTCAGTCTGGACTTAGTTTACTACCTGTGCCATGTAACCTCAGACAAACAAAACCACTTGAAACAAGTATAAATTGAGAGAAATAATATGAAATCTGTTCAAATTTGATCTCCTTTGGTTATCAGCGACAGTTTGTGTCTTCAAATGTTGTAGCTGTATATCAACCAGAATCAGTCATCCATACCAGCCTGTTGAGTTTAAGACTTTCTTGTTTGAATATTTAAAAACTACTACTGCCTTTGCCCGCTTTCTTTATGTTCATTTACATCTGCTGCACAAAAAAGCTACATCAACAACTCACATCAATAATGAATAAATGAAGTCCAGCGTATCCAAAGAGAGATTCCTTCACACACATTAAGTCAGCAGTTCATCTCACCAGGGACAGTTTCCAATAACAGCTCAAAAACACTTACTGAGAACACAAGCTTCAGCCATAAGCACGTCAGGAAAGCTTTCTGCATGCAGCTCTGCCCAGATGCTCCATGAGAGCATCACTATTCAGATTTGTATATCTCTTACACATCTTTCTATGCAATACCTGGGACAACCCTACTGCATGTTCCAAGCCAGGGACGTATGGCATGAGAAAACACATGTCAGAAAAGGAAGCCAAATATTCAACTGTAGCTAGCACTTGCTTCCAAAGTGCTTAAAGGGTCAGAGGGCAGCACCTTGCAGCTGAATTGTAGTGGCTGATCACTCTCTAGACACCTGAGGCAACAGCTTATCTAAGATATGACAAGCAACATCCACCATACAAGGACTAATATAATGATATGTTGTCTAAATGTCCAGCTGCAGGTGTGAAAGGGAATGCTCACAGCAGTGTGAGCTGCAAGCCCAATCAGCTGAGTTTTAACCAACCTGGAAATCCAATTCATTACTCCAAGAAACTTCTCATTATGTATATCTATTTGTATTCTTTTTAGGTCATCTTACTATCAAAGGTGCAATCATCCTGTCTTTGCTTGGGCAATCACAGACATTTCTATAATGAGGGGGGGGCAGTGAGGGGGGAGAGGGCAAAAAAAAGAAGCCCTAAATAAACATGCTTAATGCTGGGAATGCTGAGAAGAACAACATAGCTCTAAACAAACGCCAAATGGTTTTCAAGGAAAATTGTGAATTCCTCAATGTATACAATGATCCCAAAGATGTCAGGTTGGATTTGAACCCACGTCAGAGATCTTTAGGGACTATTGGATCACTTTCAAAACCACCATGAAATGAACAAATGGTTCAGAACAACTGCTCTGCTAAGAAGTTAGAATTAACATATCTGACTTCTAACCAGGTCTAGAAAATTCTCAGTTGCTTGAAGAAGACTTACAAAGATCAAAAGCAGCATCAGAAGTATGTCTGTGTAGGATCATTTGATGCTAACCATGCCTTTTTTTTTTTTTAATCTCACCAAAAAAAAAGATCAAGAGATGAGGGAACAGAAAAGTATAGAGACACAAGCAAGACAGGTTAGAAAATGAACAATAAACACAACTTTTTCTTGTATCACATATGTATATGTGTATACACTGCATTTCAATCTGTAGGGTTAAAAAAGAAGAAAATTACTTTGAGCCCTCACATTTACAGCAATAGTGAGCCTGGCTCATATAGTTAGAGAACTAGATAAAAGTAACATAATATTCAGAATTCCCCAGGAAGTGCATTCAATTCTGTCAATACTGTCAAATAAGCTAGGGATTTGGATTTCACTCATTTTGAGAAGTGTTCACTGCAAACATTTTATTACCTCGACAAGTTTTATGGACCCTATCAGAACAGCTGCGATTCACTTCACTTGCAGCAGAGGAAGCTGGTAATAGCTCAAAGATTGCCCCTTTCATTTCATAAACCAATTAGGACCTGGATCCTATGACTGGAGTAACACAACCCCTTTTTTTACTGGCAAAATTCCACTTCATTTATGTGAGTTCAGAATAAACGTCTCTGTTGGCAGAATACAGATGGTCATAGCAGCAAATGTTTCTAAAATACATTCTCTAATTTGTTCTTTCTTCCAAGGAACACTCTTCCTGCATTCTCAATCTACCTGCAGGTTCTGTCTAGCCATCAGTGCCTTGTTCAACTCAGCAATATTTTACTGAAAAGTGCTGAGAGAATTTAAACTTATGATTTACCACGTGAAACTTTGTTAGAAAGTCTCTAAAATGACAAATTTATTTAAATTATTTTTTCCTTCTAAATCAAGATTAATTTCATTTTTTTAAAAGAACTACTTTTCATTATATTGTCATCTTAGATTTATCTATGCCCTTGATTTAAATTGTCGGTATTTTGGGGTTTTTTTGAGACTGCTTTTTTTTTTTCAAATGTGTATTTGACCCGTCCATAAGTATAAACAGAACTATATAGTCCTTAAATGGGACTATACTGTACCACTGATTTTGAAAACTCAACTCATCAGTTAATAAGGAGGCCTACTTTTACAGGTGCTAAAATAGGATCCATATACTTTACACATAGTCTGTAATTTCCCCCAGGCATTTTTCTCTGAACTGTGGTAATTGGTTTTCAGCCAGGTACCAGATTTAAAAAAAAAAACCAAACCAAAACAAAAACCACCAACAAACAAACACCAAAACAAAACAACAAACAAAAAAAATTTCCAACCATCCAAAAAAAAACACTGGCGAGACAAATCATGTAAAATTGATGTGTTGTCTGTTCAGTACATCAGTGCCAATTCCCTTATTGAAACAGGTACAAACATAACTTCTCAGTGAGCAACTAAAGTTTTATTAGAGTTGTTTGCACATAAAGGTCTTTCCTTTTTACTCACTCATTTTAGCAATTGTGCCACGCCCAGGAAACCTTTAAGCCCATCTCTGAATTGATATGGTGTAAGGGAGCATCCCAAAGCTTGCTATTTCTCTGGAACCTGTGAATTATGCTCTTAAATGAAAAGAAAATAAAAAATAAAGCCTTACAAGAACCTAAATCTATATTGTTTGAGTTAGAGTTTTACTGTGGCTTAGTTACCTGTCAAACAGGCTGACACTTGGATAAAACACATACTGGAATCATGCATCAGGGCATGTTAAGTGCAAACCCATGATGAAGAACAGAGCTATGTGATTTGGCTAAGCAGAGAGAGCTCTAATGAGCTTTTTCTGGTCTAGGAAAGCTTGATCTGTCATATCAAACCCACTGCAACTCCAAGATCCTCTTCCATCCAAAAATGATTTTACATCTGTTTTAGTTCAAAAAGCCATATAAAGCAGAAGCCCTGCCTATAAATTTTGATTACACCTTTAAAGATTTATACAGTGTGTATTTTTTATATATATGTGAATATATATATATGGGAGGTATGTAAGAGATATCAACCACTAATATTAAGGAGTAAATGCTAGATTCTTCAGGTTCTGTATATCACTTTTAAGTCCTATTTATGACTTTCTCTGATGTGAGAGCCAACCAATGCCTATGAGAGTTCAGTATTTCTGTTCAGATACAGTTATGGGTGCAGTACACTATCCTGACATTTCTTTCCTATAGTTCTTGGGTAGGACAAGCTTTTCAGGACAGAAGGATCACGATCCATTTCTTAGAAACAACTTGCATGAGAATTGGCTTGAGTGTGGTTTTGCTGCCTACCTCAAACAACCATCAGGAGAGGGCTGGTTTCCCTTCCTAACGAAAGACAACAATCCTAATGAGAGTCAGTGGCCAGTAGGTCACACAATATCCGTGATACTTTTTTGTGTGTGTGTTCTTGCTGTGACAAAGCAACATTTCTAACAAGCTTAGGAATTATGTCAAGCAGAAAGTATGAAGCATAAAATACTCTGTTCATTAATAAATTTAACCAACATGTATAACAAGCGTATAAATTTCAGGTAACAGTTGACTTAAGTCAGATAAGAAACACACTAAGCTTTCTCTATTCCAGGTTGACAGGCTATTTATTACCTAGCTAATGATCCTACTTTCAGACCCCTGAAAGTCACCTTGATATAGGTCGGTACTTTCCAGCCCCAAACTAGACCTTACAGTAAGAAAGAGTTTTTGGAAGGCATGGGAGTATGTGGCTGGGGATAGAACAGAGAAGTTGTGAACAATCACCCCTGTGCCTGACACACAGACTAGAGCCATTTGCTCTTTTTCTTCCTGACTCAGCAATGTCAGGAGAGATTGAGTCAGCAGCTCCTGAGCATGCCGATGCAAACAACAGAGGAGGCTGGGGAGCAGACAGAGCTTCTAAACATCAAAGACAGAGAAGCACAGTTCGATCTGCAGATCAATGTGTGGACCTGGGCAGCAGCTTGCTAAAAGGGATGAACAGTTTGAAAGGATCCATCTCATTTTCTCCCTCATCACCCTCTCTATTAAATGTAAGCTATGAGACAACTTGTTTCTGAGAATTCCTATGTAATTCTGAGCTTCCCAGAGACTCATGGCTGCGCACAAGTGGCTTGATGGAATTCCATGTTAAGGTTGGCCAAGGTAGTAGAAAGGACTACAGAAAACATATCTTAGCATAAACAGAAGAAAAAGAAGCAGGAATATTAAGCAGCAATTAAAGCCTAACTTTGAGTACAAAGACAGAAAAAAATAAAATTTTGACAGAATGACACTCTCAGATGCTCTCTCTTCCCACCAATCCCTCTTCCTCCCCTTCCAGTGATCTAACTGATGTTCTTACATCCTGCGCAACCAAGACTATGGAATGGACTTGATCAAGTGACTGAGTGGTCATTTGATACTTCATCTCTCACTGAACATTTCTTCTCATCTTGCAACACACTGTGGTGCTTCAGTTCAAATACATAAGTTGGAACGGAGGCTTTTATCCCAGATTTCCTGGAAAGGGAACTAGTCCTTGAATTTAATTAATGGACATCGTTCCATGGCCTCTTCAATGCCACACACTCCACTAACTTACTAGGAGCTTAAAGAGAGACTTTTTCTTGTACGTACAAAGACCCTTCTCGGTCACCAGCCTATTCCAAGTGCCTTCCAAAAGTAGCTTCATTATGGAAGGGTTTCTGCCCATGATTGTCTCTTATAGGAGTCTTTTCTGTTTCCTCAAGCTATAAAGGATGATAGCAGTATTCTCTGAGAACTTAATCAGCAGTTGCAGTCTCAGATATCTTGCGCTATTGTAAAAATTCTGTGCTTGCCACAGAGATGATCTAACCTTCTGCCCCATACTAAAACTGAGGAGTTTAAGACTGAGAAGCTTTTTTTCATTTTCCAAACCGCCAAGGCCAGTCCCAATGAGTCTGCTCTTCACTGTGTCACCAAACCTCTGTTAGTCCCATTACAGACTGGGGACTGTAATGGGACTGGCTACTCCATTTCCCACGTCCCTCTGTTTGAAAAGCACTAAACCCCATGAAAAGATGATAAACTGGAACCACAGAGAGACATATGGCATCATGAGAGAGAAGAGAGAGGGACAGGAAGACAGTGCCTAGCTATTAAAATTAATGCTGCATGTAGGGACTGAAAGGCTGTTCTTCCACTAGTACCATGCTTCTTCGGTACATCAAGGCACTAGAGGCATCCTCCAAACCCCTTTTGTTGCCTTCTCCTACCTGCTTGCATTTCACCAAATGTGGTTGAAATTTTCCCCTTCTGATGCTGTGCCAGAAGACCACCTTATCTCATTAAAAATGCTCTAGAACACTAAAAACAGATAATCTACATCACATTGTTAGTGCTCTATGTTCACTTTGGAGCCTGAGTTCACTGAAACTGGACTTACTCTCTCTCTCTCTTCATTTAGTACAATGTTAACAACTTGCTGCATCTGTGAAAACCCTCAATCCTCCCATGAGCTGCAGAGCTGTACCAGTGAGCTTCAAGATGGAATAATTACTAGTTATGTCCAATACTAGCTTGAAAAACTAGTTTGAAAGGAGGTTACCTTCCCCAGGAATGCTGAGCTGTTGGGTTGCAGCTACCTACAGTATTTGATAGTCTGAAAAACACATCTTTCCTAGAAAAAGATATGTCCAGATAAAGCAACCAGCATACTGTGTTGTGACCAATTTGTCTGACCAGAATTTTCACACTTTGCTGTATACTCAGTCACAGAAAAATGGAGTTACTTTAAAAAAGAAGACAAGCACTGCTATTGTACAGCTTAGTTCAGAGTCCCATATCTCAAGCTGATTCAGCTTATCTGCTTTTCTATACCTATGACAAATGTATGTATTATATCATTTTTTCTTCCCTTCCTCCATATGCCTTACTGCTTTCCCTCCATGTATCTTATCTCAAAATGATGTGCTATTAATCAGCCAAAGACACCCTTCACTGCTAAGTGTTCCTCAACTGATTTTTCATCAGCACAAGTAGTTACTAGTTACAGCATTCCTCCCACATGCTGAAGCCTTGGCGGGGAGGGAGGAGGGATGGCAAGGAGGTTAGAGACTGCCTTACCAAATAAATACTATCTGAGCTGCCATTTTGCTGTAATGGTAATGTTGCTGTTTGTTCTCAGCAAAATACACATGATAAGAGGAAAGTGAGACTGCACTCAGTCTTATTTTTAAAGTTAATAACCTTCATGCTCTTCTTTTTTTTTTTATTAATCTGGCTGGATGCCTGATCAGTAGTATCTGAGGCTTAATACCTGAAACAATGTGTGTATATATGCTGTGCCAGTAAGGCTTGCCCAACAACGCTCATTCTGCCATGTTTTCCCATGCATAGTGTCAATATCACATTTTATATGCAAGACCCCAGAGTAGGGGATAGGAAAAAAGAGAGGCATGGAGGGAAGGAGGGAGAGGGATGGAGGGAGAAGGAGGTGAAAAAGGAGAGATGAAAGTAGGGAAAACTTACATCCCTTGGGAATGTCAGCTGCTATAAACTCGCCCACTTCTCACCATGAAACGAGCTGTGTGCGGGCACAGGTGGGTCCCATTCTCTATTACTAGAGCCCAGCCTACGAACAGGGGCTAAATGAAGACTTTCATTGCTGTTCCCTGTTTTCATTGGAGTAAGGCCATCATAAACATTTGCAGGTGGCTTGGCCATAGTCTGACACTAAAATATTTGTGGTTGTGATAAAAATCAGAATATTGCTACAAGATGGTTCTATATAACCTTTAGGGCTTGATCCTGTTCTTACAGAACTCAATGAGAGTTTTACCCAATTGCTCTCTGAGGGTTTTATTGCTCATTAAAAAGCATATTCCCTGGCACAATTCTTCATGGTAAGGACTCATCTGCCCTTTGGGGTAGCTTCAGATGATTTTAAAAAAGGAGAACCCAACCAAAACTCACTGATTTGAGCACTTCAGAATTTGGGCTTGTTAAACAGCTGAACCATCTCAACTTTGTAAGGCCAAATCGAAACAACCAAACTTTGAAGAACTCAAATATTTTCTGAATCCATCTGGATTTTTCTTCAGTTGTCTAATACCAAAACCATTGTCCAGTCTGTATTCCTCATGAATGAGTCTTGGATATAATTCTTAGCACATTTGGAAGGATAAGATGAAGATAAATGGAAATGACAAGATATTCTCTTTGAATAAATAAAACAGACACCACAGAGAAAAGACTGAAGAAAAAAAGGACAAACAAGGATGCTCAACACTTTGGCAAGTAAATGAAGTCGAAAATGTAGCAATTATCTCCTAGGACACACTATGAACAAAAAACAAAACCTCCTAGGAAGAAGGAAGAATGGGGAACAGAGTATGCTGGGAGTCACACCATAAGTCTCATTCACACACCAACTCACACAGAGACTAAAATGCTTGACAGTTGCCTCCCAATAAAGTAGCTTTAGACTCAGACTTAGGAAACGTTTGTGTTTCAGTCACAGGGAAGAATTAAGATATATCATGACAAAATTTCCCAAATGAGACACACCACTGACTAGGAAAAGGCCTTTTTATCCTCAACCCCTCTAACTTTGGAGATTCTAATCACCATGGCCCCAAACCAACACAAACTTAAAACCTGACTGACAGGGTCTTGCAAAACCACACACAGTTTTTTTCTCATTATATGGAAACAATTGTTTGGAAGCCAAGTACAGTCCCACATAAAACACCTCACCACTGAGTATTAAAAGTTGTTTGAGTTTTTTTAATGTTTTTAATTAGGATTATAATTACCACTAGACCTATTAAGTCACAATTTGAACAGGAGCTTAATCATCTTTAACGCAAATAATGGCATTAGTTAATGTTTTTCTTTCTAAAACTGTAAAAGAAACTGTTTCTTCCTCCCTCCCTCTCTCCCAACCCCCTGTCCATGAACAGAATAAGACATATATAAGACAAACACTTTCTTGGATTCATAGGCAAATTGTATTGCACACAAAATCTCAGTGAATACTGTGTTTTGTCAATATGTAACATATACAAAGGCACATCTATCAAATATGTTTACCTGGCCCATTCTATCAGACTTATGTATTAAGAACCAAATCCTGAAACAGTAGTAAAAACGAAAATAGAGGAGTTTGGCCAGGAGCAAAAACTGGAGCAGCAGATGGAATCCATGTTCTGTGCATGGCTGGGTAACCCTTCCAGAGAGGTCAGTGCCCTGGGTCATCCCTGCTACCATGGAATATATAGAGCCTGTGGCCTACATCCTCCCCCAGCCACCAAGAATCTTGAAAGAAAACACAAGAATTACTGAATTTTGAGTTTTCAATACGAGAATTTCACTTTTCAGTTTTACTCTGAAGAGGCTGCAAGTTGATCATCAATTATTTAGACAACGACTGGGGACAGGAACTGCTTTTGCACCTACCATATAATGGATGTGACCAAATTACAAATGACAGATAATGAATCTAGACTGCTGCTTCTTTCTTAGTCCACTAATATATCTTTTTATCCATACATTATCATGCATAAAACCCCCCAAATTGTCAGAGCTGTGTGATGAAAAACTGTACCTTCAAGCCATCAGGGCAATTTCTGTAGAATTAAAAACAAGTTATTGTGACTTACAAGAACCTCATGCTTGCTGGAAGTAACCAAGTATACAAAACATGGATGGTTTTGTTCACACAGTTCTCCAAACATGAGCACACAGTTGGCATTCAAACCAATACAATAAGCATCCATACTGTCAATTTATGGTAATAAATATGGATCCATCATCACAAACTGAGCAACTGTTCACAGAGATCACTGTGCCAAACTCCATTTATTTTTATGGTCTTTTTGTCTTCTAGCATTCCTTAATTAAACAGAGTACACAGGAAATAGCCCAATCTCACAGAGCACCCCGAATTCCCATTGAAGGAAGTGAAAGGATCAGCTTCACAAACACTTTTTCTTTCCAGAGCAGTTAGAGAAACAACATGAACTTGAACATAAGAAGAAAAAACCAAAAAACTGGATGGAGAATACAGA